ATCTTTCTCTTTAGACTTAATAATTCTTGGTTTATATACTTGGGTGCCCTGGTGTTAGGCACATAGGTCCTCTTGCTAACTTGAACCATTTATTTTGGTTTTTTGTTTGTTTAGAGACAGGCTCTCACTCTGTCACCAAGGCTGAAGTACAATAGTGTGATCATAGCTCACTGTAACCTCAAACTCCTGGGCTTACGCAATCTTCCTGCCTCAGCCTTCTGAGTAGCTAGAGCTACAGGCATGGGCTAACATGCCCGACCAATCATCTGTTTTTAGTTTTTGTAGAGGGGAGTGTCTTGCTACCTTGTTAGTCTCAAACTCCTGGTCTCAAGTGATTCTTCCACCTCAGCCTCCCAAAGTGCTGGGCTTATAGACATGAGCCAGTGCGTCTAGCCAACCCTTTAATCATTATATACTGACCCCCTTTGTATCTTTTTCTAGTCTTTTACAGAGTTGTAGTCTATTTTATCTGGTATAAGTATAGCTACTCTGTTCTTTTTTGGTTTCCACTTGCATGGAATATCTTTTTCCATCTCTTCACTTTTAGTCTATGTGAGTCTTTGCAGGTGAGGGAGGTCTCCTGGAGGCCACATATAGTTGAGTCTTGTTTCTTTATCCATTCAGCCACTCTTAGTCTATGGATGTATGTCTATGTTTTTGCATGAGAGGAGTAATTGTGTATTCCACTTGTCTCTGTTTGGCTCATTTTGGTTTTTGTTGGATATGTTTGCTTAGAGTTTTTTTTTGGTAATTTTGGAATTTCTTTCTTTTTTCCACCACTAGGTTGCTGCCTCATTTTTACCACTAGATGGTGCCTTAAGCCCAGCCTTGCTTTGTCTCTAGTAAAGGATCAGAGTGCTGTCTGTCCCAAGTTGGGGAGGTCCCAAATGGGATAGTAGGCTGGCTAGTGGGCCATGCCCAGGAGACCTATGAAACACACCTCCCACAGCATGGCGCTGCTGAACAGTCACTCTGATTTGATGTCTCCTTGGGCTGAGTTACAGAATAGTTTCCAGTGCTAGGGATGGTCATCTCGCCACCCCCTTGTCTCCTGCCTGTCTTCAGGGATATTTCTCCCTTCCAGCACTCCAGATGCTTCCCATGGGTTGAGGTAGGGACAGGTCTGCTGCCAGGTAATCCAAGATAGTAGGTAAGCTGGTTGTTCACCTTGATCTCACTTTTTTCAGTGTAGAAACCATGAGTTGGGAAGAAATTTTTTGTGTACTTAGTGTAGGGCATATTGAGATGAGGAGTATCACAGATATGGAAATATAATTCTCTTACCATATTCTTGGAGTTTTTTCACTTCTCTGTAGCCCCAGGAACTGTCTCATTCTCATATTTGGTTTCTTGGATATTGCTGATGATATATATTTGTTTTGGTTTTTTGGGGGATGGGGGACTGTAATGTGAGCTTGCTTCTGTGCTGCTATTTTAGAAACAAAAGAGAGCACAAATTTCATAAAAGTAATTTTTTGACATATGTGAGATTTTTTTTAATTTTCATTTTTTAATTTAGTAATTGTAACTCTACAAATTATCTTAGGAAATAAGGAGACATATACATGCATCTCTGTATAAGTATGTTTATTTTAGCATGATATCTAATAGCCATACATTGGATATACCTTAAATGTCAACAGTAAAAGAAAGACTAAGTTAATTATAAACATCTATATATATATAGTATAGCTATTAAAACTGCTATTGAAAAAATTTTAATGAATGGAAAATTTTTCACAGTTTATATTGAGGGAAAAAACCAGAATCAAAATTATCTGGACTCAATTCTCAATACCTAAATTCATTTCTAAATGCATCATCCACAGAGGTAAAAGGATTTAAGAAATACACCAGGAGACTTTCCCTTCTGGGAAGATGATGACATTATTTCCCCTATGCCTTCTGCTAAGTACAAATAAAAACTCTGGACATTATATATAAAACAAACTTAAGAAGATTCTGAAAGGTAGGGAGAAGAAGGCAGACCAGTTAAGGGCCTTGGAGCACAAGGAAGAACATAGTGGTGAGTTCCCTGGGTTTTCTTTGTCCCTCATGTAACCCAAATTTAACCTATATCATTTTCCTTTTCTCCAAATAATTTATTTTTAAAATTTCTTACAAGACAGATGTCTGACAACAAAAATCCTTTAGTTTTTGTTTATCTGAAGACATCTTTACTTTTGAAGGATAATTTTGCTGGCTGTAGAATTCTAGGTTAGTAGGTTTTTTTTTTCCCCACATTTTAAATATTTAAATCTCCTTTCTTCTCGCTTGTGTGGTTTCTGAAGAGAAGTCCAATATAATTCTTATCCTTGTTCTTCAATAGATAAGATTTTTTTTATTTCTGGATTCTTGCAAAATTTTCTCTTTTTCTTTGGTTTTCTATAGTTTGACTATGATACGCCTTGGTGTCATTTTTTTGGCATTTATCCTGGTCAGTGTTCTCTGAGATTCCTAGATCTGTGGTTTTGTGTCTCACTAATTTTGAAAACTTTTTGGCCATTATTACTCAAATATTTCTTCTGCTATTTTGTTTTTTCTCTTTCTGGTAATTCTATTATGTATATGGTATGCCATTTATAATTGTGGATGTTCTGTTCTGTTTTGTTCACTCTTTGCATTTCAATTTTGGGAGTTTATGTTGCTGTTTATTCAAGCTCGCTGATTCCTCCATTGGACATGTCCAGTGTATTGATAAATCCCTCAAAGACATTCTTCATTTCTTAGGGTTTTTTTATTTCCTACATTTTCTGTTGATTGTTTTTTGTAGTTTAGATCTCTCTGCTTGTATTACTCGCCTGTTCTTGTATCACTTTTTTGCATTAAAGTCCTTTGCCTATTAATCATAGTTATTTTAATTTTTTAATCTTTGTTTTTCCTGTCTTTTTAAATTTTCAATAGCTTTGGAGGATACAAATGATTTTTGGTTGCCTGGATGCATTGTATAGTGGTGAAAAAGTTCAGACTAATCATAGTTATTTTAAATTCTTGTTCTGATACTTCCAAAGTCTCTGTCATAGCCAAATCTGGTTCTGATATTGGCTTTGTCTCTTCAGACCACTTTTTTCTTGGCCTTTAGCATGCCTCATATTTTTTACTTAAACCTGTACATGATCATATCACCAAGTAATAGCAATGAGTACGGAAGCCTTTAGTGTAAGGGTTTGTGCTTGTCTGGCCAAGTGTTATGCTGTGTTTATTGTTTGCCATAACTGCGGGTGTCAGAGGCTTCAGTTTCCTCCAGTATCTTTGTTTTCATATCCCCTCTCATCTTTGGATTTTCCTTCTTAAATCAGATTTGATCCTCAAAGTTCTTTCATTTGTAATCCTGTTTGTTATTTAGGGGCTCTGTAGATGGGTGGTAAGGTATGTGCATGGAGGAAAGTTTCTGTACTCCTGTGATTAGGTGGGTCTATGCCCCTGGGCTGTTCTCTACACAAGTTTTTCTCAGCATGATCCCCCTCTCAGGTGAGACAGGAAGACTCGAGTGGGCTGGAGTTGTCTAATTGCCCTTTTCTAAGTCAGATAAGACTTTAGTAAAATAGTTTTCCTTGAAAGCTGTCCTTCTTATGACTGAGACTAGATCAAAGAACAGAACTCTCTGGGAATATTTTAAATGGTTGTTTCGCCTCCCCTGCTGGAAGCAGCAGGGAATTTTTCTCTGATCTTCACAGTGAGAATATGATGGGATGATGGGGGTCTTAGAGGTACAACTCACAAAAGTATAGGCCCCTCCAAGCTTCTACTTCCAGTACTTTAATTCCCAGGCCAGCCCATACTGAGCCCCAGAAACATGTCACCGAGTGTGAGTGTTGGATCAGTGTGGGCTCCATCAACAGCTGCTCCCCAGAGGCTGTGACTTGTGAATTCTCCCCTTTCCAGCTGCCGGTGGTTGACCCTGAGATCTTGATTCTCTGATGGATATAAGGAGAATTGTGGCTTTTGGTGTGTTCAGGCTTTTTCTTGTGAGAACAGGAGTGATGCCTTCCATGCTCTTTACATGTTAGAGTGAAACTAGAAGTGCATGAATTGCTTTTTTAATAACACTACAAAAGTGGGCATCACAGTAGAATCCAGAGGTTGTATCGTCTTAATTATGTTGAATATTTTATTTTTGTTTATTTATTTTTGAGTTGGAGTCTCACTCTGTTGCACAGATTGGAGTGCAGTGGCTGGGCTCAATCTGCTGGGCTCTGTCTATCCTTCCGCCTCAGCCTTCCAAGTAGTCGAAACTACAGGCGCACACTACCATGCCTGGCTAATTTTTGATTTATTGTAGAGATGAGGTCTCGCCAAGTTACCCGGATGGGTCTCGAACCCGCAGGCTCAGGCTATCCACGCACCTTGTCCTCCCAAAGTGCTGGGATTACAGGCTGAGCCACTGAGTCCGGCCAATTATGTTGAATATTTTAAAAAACTGAAACCTGCTTTCAAATTAAAATTTTTACTATATGACCTGTCGCACATATCCTTGTTCCTGTAATTTTTATTTTGTTTTACATTGCTCTCCCGTGGAACTGTCCAATGCTTAATAAGTAAAACCTTTGACCACCTTTGATATTTAAATCTTTACACTTATATAAATTAGCAGAGATTAAAGAATGTAAGTATTAACTATGTAAAGACCATCACTTGGAATAGATTTATCATTGACTATCCTGTAATTTAACTTTATTAAACAAAATACATTATGTATTTTTCTTTACCAAGAAATGCTTTATAGTGTAATAATTCTGTGAATTCTTGGTCATACAAACTCAGCCAGAGATAGAGTTATAATAGTCTTTATCCGACTTGGAAATTCTTATGCTTAATAAAACAACTGTGGCTTTACAGTGGTAAAAATGCTAAAGATTGGTTTAATTTATTGTAATTAAAATGTAATTTTCCTGTAGAATATAACCTTTACTAGGAAACATGTTTTAAAATTACAACTTGAAAAGGTTTTAAAGTAGCAAAATTGACTTTAAATTCAATTTTTTAAAAATTTTACGTAGGTTTCCAACTGTAATTGATCAGAAATCATTTATTTTCCCTTTGGAATCTGAGGGTAAACTTTGGCAACCCCAAAGACAGCGCAGTCCATTTCCTCGCATCTTTCCAAAAGTAAAGGTAGGAATAGCAACATCTGGGGTTGGGAGGAGGGGAGACCAGGAGTGACTTCTGACGGTACGACGTGTCTTTGGAAGATGATGAAAATGTTCTGGAGTTATATAGTGGTGGTGATTGCACAACTCTGAATATACTACACATCACCAAATTATATACTTTAAAGAGGTGAATATGACATATGAATTCTATCTCAATGAAGCTGTTAAAGTTTTTAACAGAATAAAGGCAGGAAATTTGCTTGGTGGTCTAAAGATATAGGTCTGTCTGTCTCTACAATGTTGTGTTGTTGTTTCAGATATGTTCATGGCATAGTCAATTTCTAAAACAAAATAACTTTCTTCCATGGTGGCTTGAGCAACAGAAATCTATTTTTTGCAGTTCTAGAGGCTGGAAATCTAAGATCAAGGTGCTGTAGACCTGGTGTCTGGTGAGGAGAGACAGAGAGAGTGGGAGAGGGAGAGGGAGAGGAAGGAATAGGAGAAGGTGGGGGGGAGAAAGAGAGAGAGAGAAGGGAAGCAAGGTCTTGTGTATCTTTTTATAAGCCAGTAATCTCATTAATGAGGCCTCCACACTCATAACCTAACTAGCTCCCAATATTGGGGGTTAGAATTTCAACATATGGATTTGTGGGGACACAAGCAATCACTCCCTGACTCCCCCAAAGTAATCATAGCTCACCTCTTTTGGGTACCAGATACTGTTGTCAGTTTCTTCATTTTATTGGTGAAGAAACCAAGGTGCAGAGTTGTTAAATAAGTTGCCCAAGAAAATGCAGCTGGTGTCAGAGCAAGTGTCAGAGTAAGTGTCAAAATATGAACCCAGAACTGTGGGGATCTACAGAGGCTCTTATAAACTGTGACAGCCTCTTTTAGTAATAGCTTTATGGAGATAGGGTTCACATGCCATAGAGTTCACCCCTTTTTACTATTCAACTCTCTGGTGTTTAGCATACTCAGAGTTGCACATCTGTTATATGGTACCTTTTTATAATTGCTTGCATTTTTCCTTATCATACTTGCTACAGTTTGTAATTAGTGAGTAGTATGATTTTTTAAATGTCTATCTTTCCACTAGATTATAAATCAATGAGGGCAGGATGTATCAGTTTGTTCAATGTAATATTATATTGGGGAATTCTCAATAAAAGTTTGTTGAATGAATAAATGAAACCACCATAGTGACCTTGAAGGGTGTGCCTGTCTCCATGAAAATATCAGCCCAGAGTCTCCTGCATTACCAAAACAGTCATTTGTACCTCTGTCCTCACACATGTCACACTGAGACTGCTAGCCACTCTACAGTACTCATTTATGGGCTGAGTAAGACAGATGAGATCCCTGCTCTCAGAGAGCTTGCGTCTCAGTGGGAGAAGACAGACCATCAGTACGAAAACAATGGATAATAAGAAAGGCTCTGGTGTCTGGTAGATGCTCATATGTCTTCTTTTGAGAAGTGTCTATTCATGTCTTTTGCCCACTTTTAATGGGACTGTTTGTTTTTTTTCTTTTTGGCATGTTTGAGTTCCTTGTAGATCCTGGATGTTAGGCCTTTGTCAGGAATGCAGTTGGCAGACATATTTTCCCATTCTGTGGGCTGTCTCTCCACTCTCTCTTTTTAAAAAAATTTTCTTTTTAAACATGTGGGGTACAATCCAGGGTTAGGTATACAAATGTTCATTATGCAGGTACCCTTGTTGATGAGGTGTGCCCCCCCTTCCCCAGACAGATTTCTATTACTGCCTATCTCACCCCCCCAATAGCTTCCCACTACTGCCAGTCTTTTTCTTATAGTATTATGATAATTGTTCAAACAATTATGATAATTGTTCATTTTGGGCTTTGCAGCAACTTGGATGGATTTAGAGTCTATGAGTGAGTGAGAACATGTGATGCTCAGTTCTTTGTTTCTGTGATATATCACTCAGTATTACAGACTCTAAGTCCATCCAGGTTGCTGTGAAATTCATGATTTTATCCTTCTTTATGACTGCATAATATTCCATTGTGTATATGTACATGAAAAATGCTTAGCCTCACTAATCATCAGAGAAATGCAAATCAGAACCACATTGCAATACCATCTGACTCCAGTAAGAATAGCCATCATTAATAAAACAAAAAAAACAACGGAACAACAGATGGTGGTGAGGATGCGGAGAAAAGGGAACACTTCTACACAGCTGGTGGGAATGCAAACTAGTTCAATCTCTATGGAAAACAGTGTGGTAATTCCTAAAAATTGTGGCAATGTGGCAATTCCTAGAAATTGACTTTCCATATGACCCAGCAATCCCTCTTCTGGGAATCTACCTTGAGGAACTTAAATCACTCTACACATGTTTATTACAGCACTATTTACAATAGCAAAAACATGGAACCAACTATGCTGTCCATTGAAACTGGACTGGATTTTTAAAATGTGTTACATATGCATGAGGGAATATTATGCAACCATAAAGAATCACATTTTGGACTTTGCAGCAACTTGGATGGATTTAGAGTCTATAATACTAATTGATTTATTTCAGAAACAAATAACTGAGTACTACATGTTCTCACTCATAAGTGGTCCCTGAACATTTACCATAATACTATAAGAAAGGGATTGGCAGTAGCCGGAAACAGCCAGTGTGGGGGTTGGGGACATAACATTAATAAGCGTACCTGATCTCAAACCAGGCAAAGTGGGGACCAAAGGGAGGCCCAAACTTTACCTGTTTAATGACCACTTGTATACCTAATTCTGAATAGTACCCCACACTTTTAAAATAAATTTTTTTTTTTAAAAGAAGGGCTCTGGTGAAAATGAAACAGAACGATCACGGTGATAACGGGAGTTTCCCCATTCCTCCGTCACCATTAAGTAGCTGCTTCAGTTGCATTTGTATTTGTTTGCCAGGAATCTCAGGAGGCCACAGCTGAGCCGTAAGGCGAGAGACTGGATGGGGGTTTCTGATCTATAAGAACAATGAAATTAATATCTGAAATTAAACTATTGTGGAATGTGTAATTGCTAATATTTTTCCTGAAAAAAATAAAATTATGGCCAGAATTGAATTGGCCCCACAGAGTTTTGGATCCTGGCTATGATCATAAAGAACCTGCTTGCTGACTATAACCCTGCTCTAAGTGCTGTGAGCATGGGTGAGTTTCACTTAGGAAGGCACATGGACTATCTCCCACCCTGACTTTGCTCCCAGGGCCTTAATCCCTCTTGTTTTATTTCTAATATAAGTGACATCTGCTTAAAAATGCATATCCCCTGACTCAAAAGATAGCCCTGACTTTGCATTGTAAAGTCAATGACAAGCAGTGCTGTTTTTCCAGCTGTTAGTCATGCCTAGGATGCCAACATAAAAGCTTGTATTAAGTGTTTGCGAGATCCAGCTGGGATATGACCACTTTTAATTGCCACTTCCAACCTTTTAAACTAGGTGAACCCCAATTGCTTCTCTAAGCCTCTCTCTCCCTAAAAGCGGATAGTTGTTTTTGGAATTCACACCAAAAAGCTTAAATGACAAACAATTAAGAATTGTTCAACTGTAATTAAGAATCATAATTAAAAACTCTTTATTAGCATCCTTAAATTTGAAAAAGCACACTCAGAAACATTTATAATTAAAGAAAGTTTACATTAATCTTTCACTTTCTGAGGTTTTCTCTGGGGAGGGAAGAAAAAGAATCAGTGATGAAATACCAGTTGGTAGAATTGGATATAAAGTCTTATTTTCTGGATTTGCAGATAACTATGGGCAAAATCAACACAGACTCTATCTTTGCTTATTAAAATACTCATGTTTAAAATGTTTCCTTCAAATGTATCAGTAACATATGCTTGTTGTGGTAAGTGGCAAACACGATGTGAAGATGTAAAAGGCAAAGCAGGCTGTGTCCCCATCCTCTGCCAGGCTGTCCATGCCCATGAGCTGCCAGTGTCCACAGCCAGTCTGTGTCCTTCCCCACTCTTCTCTTTGTTGGTGGTAATGTCTACAGAGCAAGCACAAGTGCAGATGTACAGTGTTTGGGTTGATTATGAATCTCTTGCTTTTACTGAAACAGGTGACATTTTGGATTATTAGAAATGAAAGCTGCCTGTTGTTTATAAACACTATGTAAAAAGCTATGTTCATATTATTTGCATAAAATAGATGCTATTTTAAAATCAAGAAACTTTGGGATAATATCTAACATGAAATATGACATCATATTTCTGAGTTTTTTTCTGTTGACTATCCATGATATCAAAAGAGGGAGCATGTGGCCCTGCGGGTTCTGGGGCAGAGTCCCCAAAGCCTGAGGCTAGTGGGCGATGTCTGATGCCTTGTGGGTGGTCACACAAGCGTGGAAGCATTCTTTACTTGTGCCTCAACTTGAGAAACAGAGAGCTGTGTAGCATCAGTGTATTCATTTGCCAAATGCTATTTTCATTTTTAATGGATACATTAAAATAGACATACATATTTTGGGGGATACGTGTGATATTTTGATGCATGCATCATAATGTATAATGATTAAGTCATGGTAATTGGAGCATTCATCACTTTAAATATGTATCGCTATGCTAGGAGCATTCAACTTATTCTCTTTCAGTTGTTTTGACATGTACAATAGACTATACACTAGGTCTTATTTCTTCTAGCTAACCGTGTCTGTACCTGTTAGTCAACCAATGTATTCACTTATCACATATTCTTTGATGCCCTTCTCTGTGCTAAGCACTCTCTCAGGCACCAGCAGCTCAACAGTGTTCCTGTCCTCATGGAGATTGTATCCGTGGCAGTGTTCCCGACAAAGTCGGCTTGACCCCAAAATGGAGTTCTTCTCCGTGCAGTGTTGGAAGCCAATATAGGAAACTGAAGGCAGGGTCACGCAGGGCTGGCCTTAATTCTGTGGTTCGCGAATTAGCTGCTCAGAGTGGGAGTGAGGGAGTTGAAATTCAAGGTTTCTTTGATGAAGGGGTTGAACATGAACTTGAGGGGAGTATGATTCATGTCTTTTCTG